AAGCGAACTAATTTTATGATTGCTAGCACTGTGGAGATTATCATGACAACAAATGATACCATACTCATGAAGACTATCCTACTTTGTGCTACCCACTGAAAAAAAAATAATCAAGGTTCATGTAGGATCTCCGCGGGTTGTGCGTGTTAAAATATCTGGTTTGTTGTTGTTGTTGCTGCTTCTTACCTTTAGACAGACCATAACAAAATCCTGCGTAGTTTATGCAGGAGTAGCGTGGAAAAACTCTTGCGTAAAGTTAAGAAACATCACCGGATACTTTAATATACACAACTCGTAGGCTTTCTGCGCAAAGTCCTGTGGAATTTTATTCTGAAAGAAAAAGGCTTCTTTCACCGCATTTTAAACATATGTTTAAAATGAGATGAAAGACGCCTTTTCTAATGTCTGAAATCGTGCGACGGTGAACTGAATTAAAATGACCTTTGAATATATTCAAAGACTAACTCCTACTTCTACTCTCTTAACTTCTTTGCTTTATTGTTCGATAAAAAGACAAAAAACTCTTTATTAAAATAATATCATCTGATTTATGTTCAATTATGTTTTGGCATATTAAACGCTGGATGCACTATCATTTAAAATACATGGGAAATGTTTTTCCGAATTTTAGAGGATCAAGAAGAAGTATATATGACTGAAAGTTTAGGATCACTGAAAGCAAGTCGGCGTCCGTCCGCAAAATGATGTTCGGACGCATTAAATTCACGAGTAGCGAATATAATTATATGAAACTGATGTGGGGAAGATAGATGACTACTGGAAGTCAAAAAATGACCCGAAGATATATTCTACATATATGTACTGTATATATATAGGAACAGTCGAGCTACTACTGTTAAAGCATTTCATTGCTTTTGCTTTTTTTTTCACTGAAACAAAAAATAAAAAAGTCACCCTCATCCTCTAAAATTTCAAGACCACTTCAAAAACACCTGCTGTCTAAAAGAACGTGTTCTTTATCATTTTACCTAAAGTAACAACTGCGTTACTTGTTACTAGTAACAAAGCTAACGGTCTCCTTTTTGCTCTTTTTCAAAAAATTCTGGTACCAAAGCTAAAAACTAGTTTAAAACTCTAAATACATAATCGAGTAGATTAGACATTTCTCTACAAACTGAGAGGTGTCTCAACTGTGGAAGTTGATTCATTGTGAAAATAGAGCTATTTTACAAAAAGCCCAAAAAGCCGATTTTGGGGCTATCTAAAAACGTTTTTGAACGGATGACGACGATCGGGCAAAATTCCAGAATGTATACCAGTTTCTAGAAATGTTTGCTCTACAAGATGTGATAGTTCTTAAAGTTCGAAACTATCTTACCTAATGTTTATTTATTAAAGAAAAGCCGAGAAACCTGTAACGCGATGACGTTTCTGGCCATTTTTCGTCATCGCGTTATAGAAATCGCGTGTACATATGGAGTCGAAATAGATTTGGCTAGAGATTTTTTTACAGGCGAGTTGAAGAAAAATCTTTTTTGCAAGTTACTTATTAGCATAAGGACATGACTAATTCGAAAATATCTCTGCTCAGGTCTTTTCCGTTACCGAGATAGGCGGCATTATCCGTAAAATAACTACTTTCCTGCCGGCTACTTATAATCATACCTTTATGAATAAAATAACCATAAGTAGCCCGAGTACAGTATAGAGACATGCTTGCTAGGTGCGAGCTTACTTTTCATTGGTAGAAATCGTGAAAAAAATCAGAAGTCTGACATGGTTAAAAGTGGAAAAAGTTCAAAATTTGGAAAATTTGCGCGCTCTCGCCACCCACGGAAGACGCTTTTATAAAATTACAACTGACAGAGAATCTAAGTACAAAGCTACAGCTGCCTAAATAATCAATTTCACCAAAAAATCTTGCCTTTGAAGCAATAAATAAGAGCCAGTTTTTAGGAAATAATGCCTCTTATCTCTCGACTTGAGCACAGATATTTTCGAATTAGTCATGTCCTTATGCTAATAAGTAACGTGGAAAAAAGATTTTTCTTCAACTCGTCTGCAAAAAACCTCCAGCCAAATCTATTTTGACTCCATATGTGTACTAGTAGCTGTTAAATTTCTAATACCAATTCCTTTTTTTGAATTCAATGTCTTGTATTATTACACGTTAAAATCTTTTAGTTATAATTGTGCGTGATGATCCTGGTCTAATTCTATTGCTTCAATAATATTTCTTCTTATTGTTCTGTATATTTTGTTTAACAACACTTTCCTTGTTCATTGAGGTAGTTTTTAGCATGATTATAGAAAATTTGTACCTTGAACTGATTTCCAGTTAGAAGTTAAATGTTTTATTTTTGGTACAACGTGAACTCGAAAATTTCATTGAAAAGCTTTTGAAGTAGACATAATGAACAAAGTAAATTATTTGAAAAACAATATATAACAATAATTGTTCATTCTTCTTTTGGTAATGTATAGTTTTCTGGTTTTGAAACTGCTTTAATGTGAGATTAATAAACACTGTACAAGATTGTTTTTGTACAGCATGAGATCCAGTCTAGAAACACAGTAGAATATGAAGCATTCACATAGTTTTATAACAATAACAAAATTTATTTTACATTTTCTTCAGAACTTCTAGGATACCTTTTAAGCTATAGTCTGTTTATAACTGAGCTTTGTTCGTTTGTCACCCTCTTATCGTTAACAAAATACAAAAAGTCAAAGTATTCAAAATAGAATTAAGTATTGTAGGAGCGAAAAAGAAGACAACGTAACACATTGCACATCTATATATGGGAATAAACGAATATATTTTTCTTTTCTTTGTTCTACTTCTTATTTCGAAATAAATCTTTCTTTTCATTTGAACTATCGTGACAATCTACTAAAAAAAAGAAAAAGTATCTTGATAATACAGTAAATTACAAACATATTTTATGCGTTGTTCATATTTCTTTACAAAAAATGTACACACATTGTATATTTGAATTATTTCAAGAAATAAGGGTTCTCTAAACTTATACGTTGACTCCATATTTCACAACAAGTGTTTATGCACAATGTTAAACAGATCAATAATCTCTTTCTGCTTTTGTACTTACAAACAGATGATCGGAATAAAATTCATACTCTAATTTACAGTGGTAATCCAATTTTAGTTCTTTGTATTGAATAACTCTCATCAATTTTCGTGGCTGAGAACATAAACAATTTACTCTTGAAAATTCAGCTATTTTCAACTAAATAGTAGTAGTATGATTAGAATTCACTAACGATTATTTGTTTCGAGTAGATGATTGTAACTTTCATCAATCTACGTTGAATCTATCATCCATTTAACGGAGAAATTGCAACTGTTAGTTGTATATATCATGAACGATATTTGTAAAAACAGTTCACGTGTTCGTTCAAGTTTTTGTAATTCTATTTGACATATACATTAAAGAAATGTGTAAGATCATAATCATCATTGGCCATTTACTTTTCTCTTTCAATTCTTAACGATTAGTGAGTTCATCTTCTTCTAACGGAAAAATCATTTATTGGACAATATTCATTCACCATTCATTCTTTATTCACTTTTTCTTGTTCTTCTTCGTTATTATTTGATTTAAATTGATGCATGTATGTTAATATATATATATATTCTGATCGATACCTCTGCCGTCTGTTCATTAATAATATATAAGTACCTAATCGTTAAAATAACATAATTGAAAAATATGGTATGTTGTAAAACAAATAGAAGCGTAGAAGAAAAAAATCAACACATCTCTAATATTTAAATATAACAGAGGCGTTTCTTTCTTTTTTTTTGCTTTACTTAGTCTATAATGTAAACATCAATAAATTTTAAATTGAAATCCAATTCAAATGCAAACGAAGCAGAAACGAGAAAAAAAATAAAATGATGATGTTTTCTCAAGAATAAACAAATGATCTGACCATGCTATACTCAAGTGGCTAGTATATTTTATTATTATCAACAATAGTAGCATGTGTGTAAATTAATATGATTTAAAACATACATACATCAGTTTTTGTGTATGTATATCTACCTTTTATAAATAAATACTGATTGGTTTATAATACTACAAAGTCGATGGTCAACGAATGAAACTAGTGTATCGTATATTCAAACTCTCTATGTCTGATTTCTGCACACAAATAAGACATTGAATTAGTGATCATTATTGTTACTATTGTCATACGAAAATTGAAGAGAATAACGAATTTTAACTACTAACTACTATGATAGATGTAACAGTAGAGATAATAATGAAATGTTCAAAAAATATATAGAGATTTTCTTTTCTTAATTTTTCTCATGGTCAACTAAATTTGAAAGAAAAATAAATCATCACATCAAAGTCTTATTAGTCGAGTCAATGAGTATGACATTGTGGGTGGGTGGTATTTATTTATATATTTCAAGGTCTCCCATTTCTTTTCTTTGACGGAAATTTTAAATGCCACAAAGTCAAGAGAAGCATTGAACAACTCTTGATGAATATGTTGAACGGTTCTTTCTCGTTCTGTCTCTCTCTCTCTCTTCTACTCATCACCATGGGTGGTAATATTGCCGACCTCTTGTTACAGTTTATTCATTAGTATCATTATTACTGCTATTGTATTGTAGAGTTAGAGAAATAGTTGCCGACAATGTCTATCCTACAGGCATTCTGATTACGTTTTATATGTTGTTTTTGATCATTCCCATCAACGTATGTTTCGATGACAATAATTTGCTTTTGGCTAAATGTTATTGATTTTCTATGACCAAAAGATATTCTTTAAGAATATTGTAAGTCGTTTTATTTAACTGATTAGATGTTGATGATCAATCATAATCAATTGAACATTATCTAATTACATCGGTAAGAATAAGAAGAAGAAAAAAAATCAGTTAAAAAAAACAACATTATCGAACCATGTAATACTAATTTGTACCTATACTCAATTAGTCGTCTTTATTTACCATATAAACTTGATTTTGTAGATATTCATATCATACTGATGGAAAATTAGAAGAACTGTACAATCGTGTGATATTTGATATAATGAAAAAATAATAATTATACCAAAATCGTGTTAACGCATGTCCCATCGTTTACTGAAAAGTCATTTTTATTACTTTTCTTCTTTTTAATTGCACAAAAGAAGAATATTTTTTACTTAGAGACAATTCATGCACGAAGATTTTAAAAACAAACTAACAATATGAATTAATTCTCGTATGTGTCTATCAGCGGAATATTTGATAATAATAAGCAGTTTTTACTGGTATTTGATTATGTTCACCAACAATAATGATGAAAAGAGAGCCGCTTGACATGCTTTTTAATGAGAAACCTCCAAATTACACATAGACATTCATAGGTGAGACATACTCTGTCACTTTTCTATTCTTCTCTTATTTTACATTTCTATACATAGATCATGGTCAATAACGTGGTGATGGACCTTATCCTTTCGTTTTTGCCTTTCATCCGGATCATTACACATTGTACATATCATCTATCAATAATTGTTTTGTTAAAAAATAACTAAGTATTATTATTCTTAGTACATTTCAATGGTAGATATGTCAACGTGTGTTTTTAACACCTACTTATTCATTAAAAAAAACATATATAGTTGACTCGAATAATATACATTTGCTTTTTAGATCTCCCACTGATTCAATGTTGAATGAATAATAGAAAATTCATCATAATAACTAAGTATCAGTATATTCAATTTAAATTTTTCTTTAAGAGTGTGGTTGGTTAGTGGATAATAATGATTATTGTTTGAACCAATAGAGCTGTTTTCTTTTCAAAAACAAATTTAATGCAGATTATTTTCTCTTATCATAAAAGCTACCATCACGTGAATATATGAGCTAATAACCTGAACGTTTCCCTCCCATCCATACTTATTTGTTCATTTTATCAATATGTCAAATATTTGTTACACGTTGACAAACAAAAATAGAAACGTATAGTAGTGATAATGGTCACTGTGTATATGCGATTGAGTAAGACAGGATTAAATAAATCCGTTCGTTTTAAATTGAAAATGAATTAACAATTGTCAATATAGAGAGTGTTCAGCAGATGTACTATATATAGTTTATAGAAAAGTAAAGAAATATGAGCAATATGACACCATTTTCTATTAATTTTTGCCTTTTTCCTTGATCCCAACCGCACCTACACATTGACCAAACTTGTCAAACATTGACGATGTAATAAAATTCAAAGTTTAGTAATTTGATCAACACACATACACACACACATACACACATACACACACACAATATCAGTAATAATAGTATTGGACTCCACTAAAAAAGCTCAACTTTTTCATAAATTTAACATTAAGTTGTTGGGTGTCAGTCTGATCACACAACAAAGATAATACTAATGATAATGATGTTTTATTGTCTATTGTTTATAGACATTTTATTTGTCATCATTACAAGCTGTGGATAAAGAAGAAAAAAAAATCAAACATCCATTTTGCATAAAACATGTCATCATCAAAGTATAGAGACTGTATCTATATGGTCGTCAAAAACTAGATAACGAAACAAATTTCAATAGAAGGTGTTTAGTGAATACATCATATTAAAAATGAATATATATATATATATATATATATGTATGTACAACAAATTGAGCTAGTGTAACAGATGGGAATATTATAGGACAGTAATTTTTATTCTATAGTTATATATTTAGACACATTCTAATAATAATTTTAAACAATAATTATAGATCATGAAAAATACTTGGATTAGAGCTGGCGGTATATCTTTGAAAGAATATATCTAGAATAATATATTCAAATATTACTATCAGTGTCTCGTATTAGTTTTGTACACCGACTTTATTATTATTATTATTATTCTTTCAATTTAAACAATATTGTGGATTAGAAAAAAGAAAGAACAAAATTATGGAGCAAAATTGTAGCGAAAGAATGAGAAAAAAAAACGACGAGAAAAACCGATAAATGTGTTGTGTATAAAACGTATTAAAATGATGATCTCTTTCCGAATTAATTCGGCTTAACTAAAAATAGTATTTTTTGACACTCACTCACTTATATGTTTAACTCATTTTTGCTGCTGTTTGTCCGGTCGGTACCACAGACGAAAGTAAATGTTCAGCACTAAATCTGTTAGATATCAATGATGTCAAAGCACTGTTATTGTTATGTTGATTATTGCTAGGATGAGTCCGTTGAAATATATCATGATGATAGGCTACTGCACTATGCGGATGTGGATGCGGATGAGAATAGTTTGCTAATAAATGTTGATCAATTCGATGACGTTGTTGTTCGTTTGACGACCATAAAGCGGCTGATGCATAAACAGCGGCATGAGCTGAATAAGGCCACGTATATGCCGATAAATAAGCTTTATCAAAGGGTGTATAGGTCGATGGCAATGTTCGTTTGAAAACAGCTAAACGATTTCTTGATGTAGATGAACGTCGACGTAGTTTTCCCGTCGTTGCACCAATAAAAACATCATCAGCTGAAGGATCTAACATCCAATAATTTCCTTTGCCTGGATCATCGTAATGACGTGGTACTTTGACAAAACATTTGTTTAAACTAAGATTATGACGAATACTATTTTGCCATCCTAGAATTGTGAGAAAAAAGAAGTTTAGAGTGATTCTAAAACTCTAACAATACTATACTGGATAGAATATCATTCTACTTAGTAGTATCCACCGTTTAACATGATACGATAATTTCTATATTATTATTTTTTTTTCCAAATAAACAGTGTCTCGATTCTACTTATGATCAACAAAAATGATCAATATTTTCAAGTTTACCTTGTTTATTTTCACGATAATATGGAAAATTTTTCATAATAAACTCATAGATTCCATTTAATGTTAAACGTTTTTGTGTAGATGCTCTAATAGCCATCATTATTAATGCATTATATGAATAACTTGGTTTTGTTCCATATTTATTTTTTGGTTGCGATACTGTTTGAGTTGATGTCACTGTACCAGAACCAGATGGTGCTGAAGATTCAGAAGAGGATGAAGATAAATTTTGATTTTTTTTATTATTATTTATTGTAATGTTTTTTTCATGATGATTTGGTTTTGTCTTATCTTTTATTGTATTTTCTTCTAAAATAGGATTATCTTCTTCTTCACTGTACGGTGAATGTTCCGATAATGATTCAATACAAAATTGTCTTTTATTACTGCTACTATTATTATCATCTGAACAATAGGTGCCAACATCCGATCCTAGATCAACATCATCTCCTTCCTCATCATCTTTTTCATCACTAAACTTATGATCAACATAATTTTCTTTCGATGATAATTCTTGATCATTTGCTTCATTTCGTAACAATAACAAATCATCATCACTGTTGTTGTTGTTTGATTTTATCGATATTGGTAAAATTTTTTCTATTGATTGTTTTTTGAACAAACGATTATTATTATCGACATCTTCTTCTCGTTCATCAATAGATCTTTTAAGAGATTTTGATAACGATAGTTGTTGCTGTTGTTGTTGTTGTTGTTTTTTATCCGATGTGAATGCTGTTTCGCAAGAGAGATTTGAATTAAGATTTGATAATAGAAAATCAGTTGAGGAGGGAATTTTTTGTTTGATTTCATCGCTTGGAGAATAAATCTAAAAAATAGCGTGAAGAATAATAATATTAAAATTGTTGACTCATTCGGCTAGGGAGATTTGATAAAAAAAATATGGACTAAGATTTCTTAAATGAATCATTATACATTGAAGAAAAAATTGTATTTGAATGCATCATCTCAATCTATCGTAGAAACTTGTCTGTGCAAGAGGTTTCCTAAGTGCCAAACACTGTTTTATTATTGGGAAATTATCCACTAATTCTGTTCATCCACTTAATATTATTAGAAGAGTATTCTCAATGCATTTATAACCGTACTTTGCTAACTCGAATATCTAAAATTCATTTTTATAGCACAGTTTAACCATACGATATCCATCCTATTATTCAAGAAACTCTCTTAATTGTATAGTGCACACTACAAAAACAAACTATGATATTAATTCCACTTTTTTAACAATAAAAATAGAACTATACATACGTAATTTGGTGATAATTTAATTGATTTTTGGTATAAATCGGATGTTTTTTCATTTGTCACTTCATCTTCGCCAAGTACACTGCGTATCGAAAATGATCCAAGAAAAATTCGTTTAGCAGGCATAGGAGCCATTAAATCTGGTGATGATGATGATGGAGGAAAAGATGAGAATTTATCTAAAGTATTATATGTGTTCTTATCGTTTTTTGTCATTATTTTTTGTAAAACGAGAATAATAATAAACTTTTCATTGATTATATGTATAATAGCCAAAAGAGTTCAATATTACAACTAGAACAGAATAATAATATTTCTATAATAATAATAATAATGATAATAATAATATGAAAAAGTATTTTTTATAAATGAAGAGAGAAAGGAAAAAGAAGAGAGAAGAAGAAGAAGAAGAAACACTTTTTTTTTGTATTCTAACAAATATTATATATATATTGTTTCATGTTTTATCAACAGACGAATCATATACACGCTATACATATAACATCACCCAACTATTGTAACTTTATTTTTGTATCTTTCTCATTATTAAGATGTTTGCACATGTAGGTGTTCACCAATGTTTCTAAAATTTTTTCTATTTGAGAGAGTTGTGTACATATAGAGAAGAAGAAAATTAAACTCACGCATTCGGAAAGAGAGAGAGAGAGAGAGAGAAAGAGAAAGAGAGAACATAACCAATGTAATTTTTTACCAATAGAAACTTTTTTATATTTATACCATCAATCAGAAATATTTGTGACTAAACAAGCACTTATATTGTGAGTCAACAAAAAATTATAATAACGATGATAAAAAATGTAAATTTTTCTTTTTATTAAACGATAAAAAAAATCAATTTTGTATACACAAAATTGCCAACACTTTCAATGATAGTAATCATGTAGTAGTCAATTCAATAATATCCTAAAGCTAAAATTTGATTTTATTCTTGATAGAAACGTACTTGGTTCTTCAATCATCTGATGTTTGAAGCAGCAAACTGTTTTTTTCCAAGATTTTTGCTTACTTTTAGCCACTGTCTATATAAGCCTTAAATTTTTCAATCTTTAAGTGGTGAATCACAGCATCAAACCAATATAAAATTACTTCGATAGTATAATAACAAAATAACACACAGTTCTGTTTTCTTTTATAGAGTAAAGCAGACTAAAGTATATATTGTTTACGTTTCAGTTGTCACTATAATACCTAATTGGGCTTCTTTTGATTTAGCCAACATCACGATTAAACGTACATATCATAAGAATCTGACAGCAGCTGCCTTATCAACATAACAGAAAAAAGCCAATATATTCAGATTTTTTTTCTTCTTTCTTTTGCAGAAACCAGAATTCACACTTAAAACAGACTATATACATTGTTTATTATTTATTAGAAATATAACGATTATGATTGATATATAAAGACGCAAAAACATATACAGCGATATATTATAAACCAACCGAAATGCAAGTGAAAGCTGACCTTTATTCGATCTTTTCCCGAGGTATAAACAGTAGATATATAATTGCTGTCAGTAACAGTTGCCATTGCTACTCAGGTTTTGTTCTTAGCCTAAAGTCCAAAGTCTTCTTACAGAAAATTATTGTTTGTTTTGCTTTGTTTTGTTGTTGTTATTTTTTGTTGACGTAATATTCATTCTAAAACAGTGATATGATCTAAATTCTACAAATGAGCCGCGAATATATTCTGTTTATATAGTCTAATTATAGCAGAAAGCCAAAAAACGAACTCAATTTCGAGATTGTAACTATTGATTACGATCTGAATATGTTGTGTGTGTTTAATTTATCGCGTTTTGTATATGTATGTAAATAAGCCGCTTCCGCTGTGGCAGTGAGAAAGAGAGATTTATCAGTTAAATAAATAAATAGGCCGACACCAGAAACGGATGTTCATGCATAGACAAAGATCTGCTCTACAAAAACTTATTGTTTCAAAAAAAAAGTCAAACAACTAAAATCAAAACAATTATTGTCTCACATATGAATTAAAGAGTGAGGCAGCCGACCGGAAATCAGCTTTTAATATTCTCAATTACAAATAACATTTTTTGCTACACTTATCTACAAGTGTTCATCATCATCACCAAAAATTACTAATAATTGGCGTATCTACTTCTGAAAGTAGTGAAATAAGAACTAACTTCATAGACACCTGTCTTACACAAGGTGGAGTGTATTAAATTTCAATCATTATATATTCTAGTATAATAGTATTAAATTAATCATTTCCGACACAAAAAAAATTTTGATCTTGTAAAAAGCTATTCCTCTCTTATTTTTTTGCACGTTGTCAACATCAATAATGAGGGAATGTTGAAAAAAAATAAAAGGAAAACATCAACGAAATGATCACAAGCTCAAAAAGAGAGAAATTGTTTCTTCTTTTTCATTCTTCTACGTGTAATTTGTATCTTAAATATGATAAAATAAGAGAGAGAGAGGGAAGTTAAATAACTTAATACTGTAGTGAGACGGACGTTATACTCTCTAAAAGCTTTTCTTCTTCTGAGGTGTGTAGTTCGTCACTATTTCTCAAACATGATAACAAGTTTTGTGTTAATTACTTGTACATACATAAAAATGTGCCATAGGCAAATTCCGTATAAATTATCATCATTGGAACGTGCTTATCGTTTAATGTAATTTGTACGTTTTCTTTTTCTGAAAGAATGCTGCAGTACAGGAAAAGTTTGAATTCAAATATGACACATGAAATACATTTCATGACGCATAAGATGCTCGATGTACCTACTGCTGTCAGAGCAACATTGACTATAGAAATGTTTGATGGTAGTTGAAAGTAAACATGGGTATATGCAGTTTCGTAATAAGAAAAATGCTCAATTACATTTATATGCACTAATTTGTAGATGTTTATATCGTATTACTCTACCAAATAAACTCCAGTGCTTGAAATCTCCTGCTCTGATACGAAAACCATAAACAGAAAAAGATATCACGGTCTTCTCTTCCAATATTCATGCGAATACTTTCTAAAAAAAAATGCATCATATTATCTCATTAAGAGGCATAGTATCATGAGATGGTTGCACTGCATAACTCTCTTAACACATTTAAGCCTTAGTGGTGTTGATATTCACACCGTTCTTTTTGTTTCTTTAAATCAAGTTTGTGCATCGTCATTTGTTATTTATACTAAGTTAAATACAAACAAGATAAAATCATTTATTAACTGTCTGTAGTCTGGCGAGAGTAGATTTTTTACTCTATCGCGGTTTGTTTATAAATACATTAATCTTATTTTAGTTTTTCGACATTTTTTTTAAAGTGCTCTTTCCTCTCTCTCTGTCTCTCACAGATGAACATTGATACACAAACGCAGAGTATGTTTTTTTTGTTTGCTAGATTCAGTTTATGGAAGAACTGACTCAACCATTCTTCCGAGAGGTGTTTAGAGAGACCCACGCCGAGAGCTTGTCTCCTCAAAACCTTCTTTTGGGGGCTGAGATTTTCAAGTTTTCGGTAGGATTACGGGATCTCGAAGAAATTTTCGAGCCCTCGAATACAGAGAGAGAGAGCTCGCCTGAGAGCTCGCCGCATCCCTTAGACAACTTCTTTTGTTGTTCTGGTTACTAATAAAATGGATGATCCTGTATAAAGTCCAAAAATACAAGGTATATGGATGGTTATTATTTAGCAAAAACGTAAATGTGTTCGTTTTTAAATACTTAATGCTTGGATTCTATTCAACAATGTAAATGTAATTTTGCCATATACTTCATTTCTGTTCTTCTAATCTTTTTATGCTCGATGAAAAGACGAATACTTTTTTCTTTCTCTGCCTTATGTTATAGAGTATCCTTGGTTTTGCTATAAAGTAGCTGATGAGAATCAACACCGACATGCACGATTCGTCTAACAGTGTCCTGCTGATAGAGATTACAAATGATAAAAACATTCATCTTAAATTTTTACTCATGGAATGCACGAGCGTCATATTAGGTTGAGATTGGCTATTTCTGAAATGTTGTTCTCGAGTGATGTTCTGTAATTCATTGAGTATTAAGCAGTTCAACTTTACAGACTTTCACCGATGAAAAATTTTAGATCGTTAGAGAACTACTCTCATCTTCTGCTTGGTTATTAGCCTCAAATTTTCAAAATCGAGTGCTTTGGATTCTATAGATAGATCTTTTGTTCTTTCTCGTGGTATATATTAACGATCAAGTCGTGATTCTCAAAGCAGATTAGAAATATAGTGTCACGTTATTTGTCTATCTTGTTTTCTCTACATATATGTTGGCTTATTAAGAACAAATTAATGACTATAGCACAATTATGTTGTCTTACACAAAGTGTACAAATACATGACAAGTATCGACTATGGTACATTAAATTCAGAAAGAACATATCTTCTTCCTTGTTGAGTTATTAACATAAGTATACACAGAAGTGAAAGAAACATATTTTCTGGCGATTGATTGGTGATGATGATGGTATCACACTAAGTTAATATAGTTTATTTATGCGTGTTGAATAATTGATAGCAAGAGAAACAATTTGATCAACAAACAACAATAGATTACACACGAAGAAACATACAAACACATACCAATGAGAAGCGAGAAAGATTGAGAGAGAGAGATTCTTCAATAATTCCAATTAATTTCGTTTTGAGAGATGCGTAAAATTCATCAAATTTTACGATTTTTTTCTTGCCTATTTCTGAATTGCCGATAAAACACGTACACAACATGTCGCATTTTTAATGAGTATGCGTTTGCTCATGTTTAATTTGCTCAATTTTAAACTGACGAGTTATTTCTAGGATGCCATGTATATAGATACAGATATTTTATATATAAAGTAGTTTCCGCTATAGAAAAGGGAATCTTAAATAAATGTTATCCTATAGTAACAAAACAATTAAGCTTTGATCTATCATACAACGAAATTATGGTTGTGAGCCCAATATTCGTTCACTTCATCAAGTTTCAATAGAAAATTTTCAAAATATATATTTTACATTTACTGACATTTTATCTATTAATGAACGTAATTGTACACATCAATAGATTAAAACACACACAATAATCCTTTCTACTCATGTATAATACAAAATTTCAAAATAGAAAAATGGATAAAAAA